CCTCTACTGCGCATGTGGGACATTTTCAGGTCGTTTGCCCGTTCCGACTGCAGAACACATACAGGTCGCATATGTGTGGCAGTGTGAATGGCCCGGCAAAAAAAAAAAAAAAAAAAAATCCGATTTAACAAAAAAATCGGAATTGGGTCACTTCAGGCTGCAGTGTGAAGGCACCCTAAATTTTGTCACACCCTCATTATGACTTTGTCAAAGCCAAAGCCTGCCGTTCATGTACTGGAGAAATAATTAAATGTTGATGATATTTGAGGATATTTTTAAAATGTTTTTTAAATGTTTTTCCTTTACGTGGCCCAGACTCTGCCTCCAGGGACCCCTGGGTAAATTGAGTTTGAGATCCCTGGTCTAGAATGAATATTTTATATGTGTATAGTTCATGGGGATTTGACAATTTGGTGAAATTGATAGACACTGATGTTCAAATTTCATAATTAGAACTAAGTGGTGGAAGTTTTCAAATAAGCTTAAACATCACCCTACTTCGTTGAAACACAGCTGTGAATGTCTGCATGGAACCACCATCCATAGCATTGTTTCATACAACGTGTTTATAAGGTCAGCTCTGCACCCATTCTTGCTGTGTGTCATATTAATCTATACCAACAGGGGGGACACGGTGTATTACAGCTGAGCTTGCTGATGTTGTCATGGACAGCATAACAAGCAAATGGCCTCACACACACAGCACTCCATACATAGGTAACCAAGTGGCTGATTAGCTGTAATGGATAGCATGCAGCGGATTATCTCAGGCGGATGTGTGTGTGCTGGGTGTTAATGTGTGCGGACATTAGCGAGGTCTGGGAGGCACCCTTTCTGCTTCAATCAAACTAAAAATACCAAACAGCCTCTGTGTATTTTGCACGTCATTTTTTTTTTAATTCACCCATTTCGTAGAATTATCGTTGCCTAGCAGCGACTAGCATCACTGGGAGCTAGAATGACTTGCAGGGTTTCTCTCACAATGTGATGATGAACGACTGTGTCGGGAAAATACACCTGTCTCCGTCTCTCCAGCCACAAAGCTTTGACACAAAAGCCCCATCACCAGAGGCAAGCTAGCTTAGCTACAGAGCAGGTATAAGTCAAGGGAACAGGATGAGGTGATCAGCAGCTACAGGGCTATCCGAGCTAGCGATGCCCATTGGCTAGCCAGGAGACTGCAGACAGATACCCACCCATGACCAGGACATTTTTCCCAGACGGTAGCTTTGATCTTGAATGGGTGGACACTTCACTCAGGATGGTGGACCTGCAGACAGAGCGGGGCCGTTAAAGACGCAGCCGAACGAGGCTTGTTTGTTCACTCATACATAAACAATGACTGGCAGCAGCGAGAGGCTAGCGCGAGCTGGTGCCGCTGTGTCACCACTGAGTCTGGTGCTGATGCTAGTTAGCATCGCTAGCAGACTAGCTGTCAAACCATCCTTATCCCAACACTGAGACTCTACGCCGTGAAACCTCAAAACCTGTGCGCACTGAAACAGTTTTAATTTCGCATCGCCCACCATAGGTTCTGCCCGTCCTCCTCCTCTGGGTTGGAGCTCTCCAGTGTGCTCCTAGATCCAGCTGATGTGGAGGATAATAATGCACTCCTCCCTGAAGTCGCCATCTTCGCAGGGCTTGTAAACCTAACTGGACGCACGGTGTTATGTCGAAAAACGCAGCCCCAGTTATTTGAAGTTCAATGGTTTGAAGGCAGTTTTTTTTCCCCCTTTTCAATAAAAAAAATATCTTGTTAATGGAACTGATGACTGGTTCTGGTAGACAGTATCAGTGACATTAAATAATTTTTCCAAAGAAACAGAAAAGGTTGTATACTCTAAGTTGACAACATGCCCCACGATATATGTGTTATTTTTTATTTATTTTAATTAAAAATACTTTACTTTTCCATGACAAATACTGATAATAAAATTACTATTAGGTAAATCAATGACATCCTCCAGGTGGATGTGCTTTTTATTGAAGGGGTACATTATTCGGCGCAACACCTTGAAGTAAGCAGCAGTGGCAGCACTGAGCTAACCCAGTTCGTTAGACAACACCGCACGCCGTGGCCGGGGCGTGGTCCGCCCGCACAAAGCTTTAGTTCCGCTATAGACATCAGACAACGATGTCACATCAGGACTGAACCTTCACGCAGAAAGATGGAGAAGACAGAGGATAAATGCAGGGTTTCATATCGAAAAATGCACCCGTGTCAGCGTTTCTATCTCAATATCTTCACAAAATCTGCGCCAATAATAACAACCCTTTCAGATCTGAAAGAAAATTTTAGTCAGATATTGATTTGTTAAAGTTGGATTGAGAAAACAGCCGCATGCATTGTCATTTTATCACGGAACAAAAGGTAGTCATATCCTTGACTACCTTTTGTAGTAAAAAGGTAGTCAAGGATGTTTGCCAAATTAAAACTAGAGACTCTATTGTATTTTTTCTTGGGATTTTATCTGATATAGACCAGACAAAAAAAAAAAATCCTCTTGAGTTACTATATTGTAGAATCACCTTTTATTGCTGAAACACGCTGTCACCAGTTTTCCAGGCATGTTTTCCCTTTTTCTATTTACTGGAATGTCATCAGAACATCTGACAGATTAGTGAAGTATTTGCATCAGTGAGGCATTAAAAAAAAAGCAGCAAGATGTATTAAACTGTAAGAATCTAAAACGATATAGTAAACATCCACGTGATAGATAAACTCTCCTTGAGAGAAAGAAATCACCAATGACTTTAGAGGACTTTAACGAAATATATTGTTGAATATGTTGGCCTTTTTTACCCCCCAAAATTATCTGGTTAAATGCATTTTCAACACAAATCCGTTTTAGACGAATTATCCCCCTAAATATGCTGCCTTCTAAATCACTGCCACTGATTTGTGAATGGAATGGCACCGGGCCTAAGCTTGTAAGGAGATAAAGCCATAATTCCATGTAGGATTTGGAGGCACTTCAAACAGAGGTTGTTGGCCACAGTCCGTATTTCTTTGCAAAACTACATTATAAAAATTAAAACATTCGTAATAAATGTGAGCCATTGAACTCCTTTAACTTTCGATTCAACATTTTAGGTTGTCAATGCAATGTATAACATTTAATTTGGTAACAAGTCCTAGCTAAACCTTTTAAGAATTTGACTGGAGATTGGAGTGTTATTTGTAATGTACACTGGTAGAGAATAATTGTTACTTGCCTAAGGGCAATTGGCCAGGACAGCATTAGAAATGGGACACATGAATAATGGACAACCATTGATTGAAGAGAGCTTGTGGATTTTGAATTTACACAACAAACGATGTTTGTAGATTGAGATATGTGATTGTTCTGTTACAAACGGTTGAACGTGAAGAGATTTTACATTTCAGTCTGACTAATACAGACGCCATTTAGGAACTCAGAATTCAGTTATGCAAACTCATTATGTAGATTCATTACACCCTGTGTGTCACACCGTACATTCGAAGTGTTTATTTCTGTCATTGAGAGGACTGCGGCTTACAGTTAATGACAGTCAAAAACTCAAGTTTCTCAGGATGAAAGTATTTTATTAGAGAAACAAAAACAAAATATTCACAGGGAGGTTATGCTAAGGCCCACCCAATCAAGACTTCAAACGACAAGCAAATTAATAGACGGTTGAGCGGATGGGAAAAAAGTGCGTTAGAAAACGATGCACAGAGAGTTGGAATAACTCCAACCTTGAGAGGATTGTGTTACGAAAAGGACTGCATTCTTGCTTAATGGTACACAAAGTCCTGTACTCAGATGAAAGTGAACTCTGCATTTCATGTAGACTTGAAGAGGCTCTAAGCAGAGTGAAGAGGTGCAGGCTCGAAGCTGCTTGAGACCCAGTGTGAAGACTCCACTGTCGGCGATGACTTAGGGAGCCATGTTATCTGCTGCCGCTGGTGTCCGCTGTGCTTGATCAAGTCCAAAGTCAGAGCATGTCATGCATTCCTGCAGATTAGCAGGGGATGCCGATTTCATTTTCCAGCAGTACTTGGCATCTGCCCACACTGCTTTAAGTGCCAATAGCAGCTTTAAGGACCATAGCGTTGTGATGCTTATTTAACTCGCCTGACACAAAAACCCCATGGTGAAACCGTGGAAGATTGTCAAGAAGAAGATACAGGTAGCAATGCAGATGAGAGCTGCTATTAAAGTAACTTGGGCCCAGTAGGGCCACAGGTTGATCATCTCCACTGAGAAAATTCGTGCAAAAGGGAGTGCCTAACAAGTATCCAGTGCATTTACTGCACAGTACCTGGACCCACAGCACATGGGGATCTATTTAATTCACGAGCTTTACTTTTAAACTGATTTTCTGCAATGTATTAACGTTTTGGTGATGTCCAGATGCACCCGTAAAATATAATTTCGCAAGTTATCAACCTAAGGTTTAAATCATTAAAAATAAATAAATAAATAAATAAATAAATAAATAAATAAATAAATAAATAAATAAATAAATAAATGTTAAAAAATAACTTAATTTATCTGAGCAATTAAATTATTTAAGTGGAGAAATTAACTTAAAAAATGATTATAAATTAACATGACAAAATGCACCTAAATAAAATGTGTTCAAATGTCTAATTGGTTTAAGTCTAACAATGTGTTTTACAATAACATATTTATAAAAACGTGGATTTTTGTGCTGTTTCCATGTTGAATTGTCATGCAGATAATTCAGCCATGCGCATGGCTTCTGAGCACATTAAATTGATCTCAGGGGACGAATCTGCTGGGAACACTGTGAACTTCAGCTCCTAAGCGGTCTCAGGTGTGTGGTCAGTCCCTATTATGAAACCGCTGAAGCGCATCGCAGCCAATCAAAGCTGAGCAGCAGAGAAGCAGCTTTTTTTTTCTTCTTCTTCTAATGGAGAAGGGTTCCTCAAGCAACCACTAGATGGCGTTAAAACACTGCGATGAGTGTCCGCTGCTCCCTCTGTATAGGGTGCGCTCCCTGCGGCCCCCGATGGAGCCAGCGGATTACAAACTCCTGTTAAGTGGCGCGCCATCCCCTCCTCCTCCACATCTTGCGCCCGGAGCAGAACCAGGCGTGCGGAGCGAATCCTCTCCGTCCTGGAAGCAGCGGCTGTTCATCCCCGCTTCTCTAGTCAGCGCCCCAAAAACTGCTCGAGCTCTGCAGTGCAAGGAGGGGGTGGAGGTGGGAAGTGTGTGCGCGCGAATGTGAGTATAGGAGGGGTGGGGGGTGAGTTGAGGGGGAAACATAGCTACACAACAAGAGTGAGATGGGTCCGGAGGCGGTCAGGTATTCGTGATTGTTGAGTGAACGTGGGGGTGAAGTTCTTCTGCTCCGCTCGGATCTTTCCTCCAGGACCCTGAGGTGAGTTTCCCCTCTGCAATCTCTGGCAATAGACTGCTATTTGCTCTGGATAATTTAACAGTACTACATACCTGTATAAAAAAAAGAAAGAAAAAAAAACACCGCTTATGATGTAAACATGCGTATGAAGCAAGAGAAAAAAAGGAGGATTTAAAAAAAAATATATAGTTTAGCATCTTTATTGACTTTGTAGATAAATGAATTGCAGTGAATTTAAATATATATATATATTTTTACTGAGAAACAAAAATATTAATTAATATAACACTTTCAGAAGAAAAGATGTGCTCCATGAAGATCCACATTCTTTGCTTCACTTGTGTCATGCTCTGCTTCATCCTTCCCCAGTTACCTTTTTTCTTCTTTTCTCTCGGAATCAGTCTCACTAATCCCCTCTCTCCCTCCCAAACTCTCCACATTCATCCTCATATTTCAGCTCCAGTACCACTGAAAGTTCCCCGAAAAAGTTTCCCCTTTTTCTACGTTCCTTTCTGCTTTTCTCCATCCCGGTGAGATTTTATGATTATGTCTGCTTTCCAGCAAATGCCACGTACCGTCTTTATAGGACAAGGTGCTTGTGAATGCAACCCCTCTATCTGTCTGATAATCAATATGTGGCCAGGCAATTATAGATGGTGTCACACACCTTCCTGCGACTGCAGTGTTGATGGCAATATCTGTCTGAGTGGCTGCTTCGCTTGTATGTGAAGGTGAGCGGTCACACTCACACACCGGCATGTACACTCTGAGGCAAGGGTCAAGGCAGTGGAGCTGGTGATTGTCACAGTGTGCAGAGAAGAGGGCACTCAGGGCTCTAAACCCCAACTCCGCAACCGGTCGAGTTTTTATTTGAGAACTGCTTGAAAAAAGTCTCACTCTGCTGAATCTGTTGCCGCTATGAAAATATTGCAGTCAAATGCAGAGAGTTATATTTAAAAAGTAGGAATCCCAAAGTACGTGTTGGGGTTTCAACTAAGTAATTAAATTTACCGTTTTTTTAATTGATTGCCAGCAAATCCGACAAACTGTTTTCCCGTTGTGTCATATTTGAGATCGTTATCCTTTCACATGTGGAATACCGACGCAAACATAAGTCAACGTCCAGCCAAACCAGGCGGTCACAAACTTTTTAACGTTTCAATTAATTCTATGCCATCAAGATTGTAACTAAGAGATGCAGTTCATAGGTTTACTGCTACAGGATCCACCAAAAAAAAAAAAAAAAAAATCACAAATCTAGTCGCAATGACCTTATAATGGTACTCAATCTCATGCTGCATTATGCAGATGCTCTGTCTGCATCAACAAAAGAGTCACTCTGAGTGCTGAATGCGCAAAGTGGTAGACATGGCAGTGAAGTTGAGCTATTTTCTGAGAATTCATCTCAGAATAGTTTGGCTGTTTGGGGGCAGTCTTATACTTTTTTTATGCTACAACATTAACTTTCACTCCAAGATGGCCAAACAATCATTAGACCTGGAAGACGGAAACAAAACAAGACAACGACGTTATGATTAACGCAAAAACTGGCCTTGCTATTCTTATCCATAATCGTACTTGAAGTGTGTTGACGATTACTCTACTGAAAATATGCATATAATATAATATAAGCAAACATGTAAGTAAATGTAATATTAAGTTTTTTCACTTGGATATCTTAGAATCGGTCATGCTACAGAAGGAGTTATTTTTTTATGTTTTCTTCACAATAATGTTTATTTTTCTGTTTTGGCTTGTTGAGAAGAACTGGAGACAATAACAAACAAATATCTAAGTATGCATAATAGTAATAATCATTATAATAATGGTTACATTGGTAAATGTATTGAATAGAAAAATGACGTTTCCACTATATTTGTTGAAAATCATTCAAGAGGCAGTAGGTAACTTATAGAAAATATGTTTCCACAGATAGGCTGTGAAAGAAAAAATAAAAATCGAGCTGCTCTGCCTCTTTCCTGTGGTCCAACTGAGATCTGTAGAAATGCAATGATCCCAACCAGAAACAGCCACTCAGAGCCAAGAGGAGAGTCTTACTGATGTCAATTACACTTGTGTACGCTGCTCACACCCTTCCACTTGCTCTCTTCTCTGCAAAGCTAGTAAGCAATTGCCACGGATAAACAGTTTTCCTGCAATGGTAAGTTGTTTCGCCAAGCTGGCAGTCACGAGCGGGCGCGTACACAAGTGTGGTTGACAGTGCAAAGACCTTCATCCTTCTCTGATTGTGTTTTCTGACCAGGAGTTTCTGCAGATGGCAATAGGTCCACAGGGAGGAAGGAGGCAAAGGAGCCGGACTTTTGCACAGATTATCTGTCTCATGTTACGACATGGTGACGGTTTTAGTAAATATATAAAAGCATACTTTTATAGAAGTTACCAACTGCAGCTTTAACACAGAGGCAGAATACATCTGAAGACTTGCTTCAAAGACATATTGAGTATTTACATTACATTTACTAGGCTTTTGTTTTATGTTTGCAACTGAAGAGTCTGAATTTATAACCTGCTCCACAGAATCAAACATGTACTTGAAACATGTATGTTGAGATTGAGGACTAAGAGATTAAGTGGGATTCAGGTTCCACCGCTAACAATCATTTGTTAGATAGAGAATGGATAACTAGAACACTAAAACATTGGTTTTTACTTTTTACTTTAGTCACCTGTAACAAAATCTTTACTTTCCTCCTTTCAGCAGATGGTATTTTTTACCAGGCAATTGGAGCGTACCACACAGCTCTTCTGACTCTCGTCGTAATTGGCATAAATACTGGCAGGCTTTACCCTAAATGCGTGCTTTACGCCTACTTTAAATATGTGCACATGGCGAAGTGCAAAGAGACAGTATTTGATTGGCAGGGCCTTTCAATGAGCAACTCTCTCTTTGTGTCCAGTTTCAGAATTAGGACACATAAACTCAGATTTGTAATAGTTGTTTAGCTTGTTCATCTTGTATTTGATCTTCCTGACATTTCATTATTTTCTCTAATGATTAGGGATTTTCCATGTGGTTGTTAAGTTTTCTCAAACATCCCTTCCCGTTTCTTTCACTGCCCATGATCCAGTTGTGTTTTTTTTTTTGTTTTTTTTGCTGCACCATCAATGAGTAATATGGCACATAAATGTCAAAATTAAGCAGTTGACTAGAGTGTTTTTCGGCACTCACACTGCACTGACGGCAGTGTGAGATCCTATGATGAGGTGCAATGTGAAAATTAATTGTCACCTCCGCCAGTGTGTAACGCATGTGACAGCTGATGCTTTGCTGGGCTGCAAGGACAGACTCTGCACCCAGAAGATGAATGTGGAAATCTTCCACATCTCCCTTCACTATCAGTGTCATCTGCTGTCGACCAGAACAGACAGGCATCTGCTTCTTCACACACACATGCACACGCATTTCCACACTGAGGCTGAAATAGTGGAGCCACAACCAGTGAAACTTCTCTCCTTCACAGGTCGGCTGTATGTCACACACCTGCCATGTGGCTCTGTCCACGTCCGTTTGTCTGTACACAGCCTGTTCACCGTGCTTAGCTAAAAATACTCACACACACACAGTTAGGACATGAATTATGGAGGATGGAGAGAGAGAGAGGGAGAGACATTCAGGTCAGAGTCAGACCCAGTTCTAAGAGCTTCGTTCCCTCAGGATGGTACTACTAGACTGCAGCATTAAAATTCAGCTGGTATCATCTGGAGCACCGAACCTGTGTTCTTCCTTCAGCTTAGGTTAACCGTACCCAGGGTCAGAGAAGGGCTTAGGTTTTTACATTACAGACTGATAAATATATAACTGTATGTGTGACTCGAAAAGAAAACGGTTTGACGTTTTTTTTTGTTTGTTTTTTTTTAGAAGTTACTTCTCTTGTCGTAAATCGCTAAACGGTGAGGCTGCAGCGAGGGAACAGTTTGCCCGGATACATCTCAGTCGAGATGTTAAAAACAGGCCCATCAACACCTCTTCAGGCCACTGATTAACACGCTGTCATTTTTGCACCCGATTATGTGGCGCGTTCATTTATTTAACATAACTTGTTAATTTGCGAGCTTGAGAAGATCTGGTTTGCTAATTTTGCGTCTTCATAGCAGCGAGCCAGAAAATGACTGAGCCGAGTTGTTTGTTTCCAGCTCCGGTCTTTATGTCTGTTAAACATGAACAGCTCCCGCTCGTAGCTTCATGTTTATTACAGAAGGGATGAAGGGAGGTAGAGTTGTGGCTGACTCTGAACTTGCAACGTTGCCAAGGGTTTAACTTAATGACTGAATCATTTGCTTTTATGAGAATGAGCAGCTGAAAAAAAAGTCATAAGTATATATGCACTTTTTCAGCTGAGGCACACGGCAACTCTGGAGGAGCTCCATCAGTTTTATGCTCGGGTGGGAGAAACTGAAGACAGGACAGAAGCATTCACTCTGGATTTGAATGGCAAGAAGAAGAAAGTCCTTGGTGAAATAAAGGGATGAGAAGTACTGTTAAAATGGTCAAAGCAAATGGGAGGTTGGATTTAGCTAAAAAAAAACAACATATATTCTAGTACTGAGTTAAATCCTGTTTTAAATATGTGAAGCTAGTGGAGACATGACCCAAAGGACTTGCAATTGTAATTACAGTGCAAAGCTCTGACGAAAGGGGATGAATACAGATGCACAACTTTCCAGTGTTTTATCTGTGAAAAGTTTATAAAACCAAGTCTAATTTTTCTTGCACTCCATAGTGATGCTCTACTTTGCATATAGTTTTCTGTAAAAATACACGGAAGTTTGTGGCAACTCGCAAATCCTAAAGTTTTTAAAGGGAAATGATGCTATTTAAAATCCCGTAGCCTTTAAAGCTGGTCTAAATTGCAGGTTTTGACAGGCGGAACAGAGTATCCTTTATTTTTAGTCGCTATAACCCAGGAGACCCCGGTTCCACTCCTATCCCACCCAGCATATTTTATGCTTTATTTCACCTTTTCTCAGTGCTTGGTTGGAATTAGTTGTTAAAAAATGTATACGGTAGGTTTTCAAAAAAAAAAAAAAAAAGGTTTTGACCTACATTAGTAGATCTTCCTGGTATGAATGTTAGAAATCTCAGTTTCTTGAGCTCGCTGGGGCATCTGTTGTGTTCCAGCCGAATCTAAGATACGAGAGAAATCTCACGCCTAGATAAATGCGAACCCTTCCAAGATATCAGCAGCAATAAATAATTTCCACTACGTGTCAGCTTTTATTGCCGTATCATGAGAATGGGCTGTGAAGTCGGCCTGCTCGCATTCAAAGCAGGTGCTCCAAACATCGCGCCAACACGCTGAACTAATCCCTCAAAGCTCCTGCGCAGCTTCTTTTGAAGGCTGCAGACGGGGCTTTAGGATATGCGGGGAATTACCAGTGTACTTTTTTGTTCAGCCATAAACACTGAAACAGGTGCAGCAACCCCACAGAAGGATGCGGAGCTGAATTTGCACACACCCACACAGTCCTGCGAGAAGGTCTTATTAAGCAGAATGTTTGAAAACACCTGTGTGGGCGGCTGGTAGATGTGATCCCTGTTAACCCATTAGACATTTGTCCTCATATATATTTATTTATATCCCTTTACTGATAATTATGCCTTCATGTCTTAACTATATCATAAAGAATGCTGTGGCATCATCCAATTTAAAGCTTCTGTTAGGCTTGATCATAATTAGCTGTATTCCAGCCACGTTTCACTGTAAAATGCGATGAGTTATTATCAATTCAATCGACATGATATTAGAATAATGTCAGCGTTGCTGTGATTACATTCTTTAGAATGTTCTATTTAGGGGCAGGAAACGCTATGCAGTCTGTGGAAACCCGAGGAGGGACATATCTCGTGTACCGGAGACTCAGCGCCGCTCACAGCGCGTTTGTGTGTGTGTGTGTGTGGTGTGTGTGTGTGTGTGTGTGTGTTAGTGCGTATTTGCAATCATCAGCATTCTGATAGACTTAAACTTATGTGTTGCATTCAGGATGCGCGAGTGCGTGTGTGTTTGTTGCGTATGTTACACGTGTTTTTTCGTGTGCATTCGAGCACCGTGCCCGAAACTGAGTAGCTTCAGAGTCCTGACCTTGTCCTGACAGTTCGAGCTCTGTTTGCTTAGTCAGATTCTCTGCATCTGCTTTTTTTTTTTCCAGACAGACGACAGCTCAGATGTACTGCAGCATCCATCCATCCATCCATCCATCCATCCATCCATCCATCCATCCATCCATGACAACAGAAAGCTAGACATAGTAAACACCTCTGGTTAAATAAAGCAGATATGTGATATTTAACCTCATGTTCAAAATGTATGTTGAAAAACCAATAATGCATACAGCCCTGAACATGCCATCCCAAAGTAAACCATGTGTATGGATTATGCTGAGGCTGGGAGGGTGCGATGTAGAGCCGTGGCTGTCTTTGCGTTTTTATTTTTTTGAACCCATTTGGGCTAAAAACATACATTACACCTCCTATGTAGGTCTACGGTTTGTCTCAGATGGATATTAACAAGATAGGTTCAATCTGGCAAACAGATCTTTGCCTTCCATTTTTTTTTTTTTTTTAACCAATAATTGTCTTGACCGTTTTTATTTATCTTTTTTTGTTTTTTTGAAAAAGAAAAATAGACAAAAAATAACTTAATCTCAAGATTTGCAAAGCTGATAGAAATTATAATAATAATAAAAAAGGTTGTTCTTTTCCCTTATAATTCACAACACTGCAGTATTTTGTGATGGTCAGTAAAATAAAACGAAGTATCTATCTATCTATCTATCTATCTATCTATCTATCTATCTATCTATCTATCTATCTATCTATCTATCTATCTATCTATCTATCTATCTATCTCTATGTATGATGTTGTATAAACGAGCTCTACTTTTTCCTCTCTTTCCGTTCAGTGTGTGATTGCACGGCCGTCATGAGTAACATCTATGAGTCTGCAGAGGCCACGCTGGGCTTCATCAGCTCCCCATGCCTGACCAAAGTGGAGCTGAGAGTGGCCTGCCGGGGGATCTCGGACCGCGACGCCCTCTCCAAGCCCGACCCGTGCGTGGTGCTGAAAATGCAGTCACACGGCCAGTGGTTTGAGGTACGATGGAAACGGGGAGAGGGTAATGAGAGAGATGCCGCGCTCCACGCAAATGAGTCTCCAGTTGCGAAGGGCTATTTCACACTCGGAAAATGAAGGTTTAATGGTGAGGCCAGGAGTGAATCAGGAGTTTGTCATTCTTAAGTGTTCTTTTATATGACACCTATTCAGCCATTATGAAGCATTCTGAATATTAAGCGAAGTGGCAGTGACTCTGAACGTTTCAAGGTGCAATCTGGCTTGTCAAAGCGACTTCTAATGTTGCTCCTCTATGGATTACAATGAATGTCACCTGTATAATGGAGTCATTTGTAATATTTGATGGAAGACCATGGATATATTTTGACACTTCTTTTTAATAATACTGACTTTTAATGTTATTACAAGGTATTAAGTCATTTAAGTTAAAAAAAATAGCAGTTGTGCATTGGAGGAAATGGGGTCTAAACTAATTATAAAGATAACATTTAGCTAATAAAAAAAATAATAATCTGAAATCACTTTTATGTAAACATCAGGCTGTTTCATTTTGGTGTATTATTGTTTAGTACTTTATTTTTGTTTAGTTTTATTCACTTTAATGTCAAATGAATCTTTCTCAGGCACTTTGACGATTTTCCCACATCACTATTAGTATTTGCACAATGGTTGGTCCGCCTCTTGTTAAAAATCTAATTTTCATCCCTCAAAAGCGAGTTTTCATGTCAAAGAAAGTGTCAGTGTGATCAAAATGAAAAGTCCCGATGTCCTTTTGGATGAACAAATCGCTTTGTCATGTTTTCATTACGATTGTTTACTCTGTTGATGCTTTCCAGTGCAAAAAAAAAAAAAAAAAAAAAATCAGACTCTGGTGACTTTACCTGACAATGCTCAAGACAGCACTATGTGCCATTTGAAATCTACTCCTCTCACAAAACACACTAATAAATGACATATTACTCTATCTATTGAGATTAAAAGGATTTGTGTTTTGTTGGAAGGAATAAAAAAAAAATGCTACTTTGATGAGCACAAATGATTAACTGTTGTGGATGTTTTGTACCTCATATTTGGTGCAAATTCTGTTATCTTGCAGAGGCAGAATTGACATGAAAACACCAATTAAATGGTGTTTTGGTGAAGTGCTGAAATATGTCATCGACCTAACTGGTTAAAATAATTGATAGCAAAATTTCTTTTGAGTGCCACTAGAGGCGGCCTCTAAGTACCACTGTGGGTATCGGGCTGCCTGGGATGATCCGCTGAAAGGAATGTTTGGTGAAATTATGGCACTAAATCAGAAAAGTCAAGTCGCCATTTCAGACTGTGAGTGTGTTGTGTTGTTTTCCTTACAGCTTGCATGAGCCACGTGTCCTAATTATCACGCAGCTCAACTGGAATCCCAACCTTTGCTACAAGCAGAGTATAAATTGTGTTTATTTAGCAAATGCCCTTTTAACAGATGCAATGTATTTGTTTTTCTTTTCTTTTTTTTTTTTTGGTAATGAAAGCAATCAGACCCTCAAACCCACATTTTCAGCTTTATTGGCCTCGTTTGAAGCTAAAGAAGTCCCAAATAAATGGAGGAAACATCTTCTCTGTGTAGTAGGTTGTTTTGGCTGTGGAAATGGATAACTGGTGCTGCTTTAAAGTGTTCCACTCCATTTCCAATTATCAGTGAGGCACACGCGCTTTCCCGGCCCTTTCTAATGGACTAGACAAAAGACTATCTGAGCATAATTAAAAATCCAACATTAGGTGAAAGATAAATCCTAATGGATTTTTAGAATAAGCAAATTTTCATTCGTTTTGAGTTAAACAGGCCACAGATTGAGACACGTTCTTTGTCTTTTCTTTTCAATGTACGGAGCAGACGCGAGTCGGTGTCAGTAATACAGAATATAATTGAAAAAACTCATTATTTTCAACGATTCAGTTCAAAAAGTGAAATTTATACAAGTTCGTTACACAGAGTGGCATATTTTTTCCCCCACATTTTAATAGTTTTATTATTATGATATCTAATATAGAAATAATATGGTATGTCTTACAACGACCTGAGGAAAGCTGCTGACTTGCTCACCAAACACCACTGATGCAGTGTAAAGTTGGGTGGAAGGAAAAACTGACCGAAAAGGTTGCCTGGGCAACAAGAATTGAAGAGGCTAGGGGAGATTCATACGGTATTGATTAAAGCTAAAGTCAGTGCTGTCACACACAGTCTCATCAGGGATATGAACTACAGCTGTCACATTATTTTTGTGCCACTCCTGAACTAGAGACATCAGACGCATCTAAGCTGAGCTAAAGGACTGGGTTGTTGCTCAGTGTTACATAATCCTCTTTGCAGATGAAAGTAATTCCCAATGATCTTCTAATTAAGTGAGACATCTTTTCAATTTGTCACTCGTAAATATCCATTGCATTTTTTTCTTCTTTTTTTTTCTGTCAAATTCCTGTTCTACATAGAGGGGTTGGGGGTCTAGCAGACGTGTGTGAACACACAAACTCAAGCGTGACACAAAAAGTCAGGAAAACTTCCTCGCTCAAACTCGCACAGACTCACAAAAAGCAGTGCTTTTTCCACAGGGGCCCAAGATCAAGTGCTCAAAAAAGTAGTGCAGTGTTAGGCAACTGTATCTCAGGGGAGTCCAGAAAAAGCTACGTTGTGCAGCAGAGTAGTGTCTGTGTGTTTATTCATATGGAAAAAAAGGAGAGAGAATTCATGTGTGTGTGAGTGTGTGTGTGTGTGTGTGTGTGTGTGGATCTGAGAGTGGACAATCTCTGCCGATCAGAATTACTTCCTCAATTGGATTGTTGTTGGGAAGCAGCTGGGTGTGTTTGTGCATATTTAATGTGTTAAAGGCTCTTTTTTTTTGCTTCAATGAGTTGCCAACTCATTGAGGTGAGGTTAAAAAAAATGGGCAACATCTGGTGCATGTTCTGTTATATTTCACTTTTTCTTTTTCTTTTTTTTTTGGTGCTTGTGTGTGAGCCACAGGGTTAATAGCGAGAAAAAAAAAAGAGAGAGAGAGAGAAAAAAAGCGGGCGTTCGCTCCTGCCAGCGTTCTCGAGCTTTTTGTTGTCAGCGCTGTGACGGACTTTAATTTGGCACTGTGATCCTTTCTGTGTCAGGCAGTCAGAGAGAAGAAAATCTGAGATCAATGCTGCAGCTCCAGTCGGATTTCTGTGTAGTCAAACAGCTAGTGGGATTTTTCTAAAGCATCAAGAAAAATCAATGTTTGCAGTCCTCAAGTTGATAAGTGTAAACAATGTGGTAATGGCTATTTGTGGTAATTGCTGCCGAGCTGGAAAGTCTCGCAAAGCTCACAATCGATGCCGAGTAGCAGTGCGCTGGACGCTCAGCGAGAGTTTCATACTTCAGCACGCGTGAATACAAAGAGGTCTATTTAAAGTGACTCGGGCAATAATGGTGATGGAGCCACCGCCTTTTTCCACCATGGGGGACGGCGTGTTTGGGGAGATGTGCGGAGTTATCTGTTCTACATAGCGTTTTGCATTAAGCCAATTTGTTTATGTGTGCTGTTGCCCCTACGTGTCCCGGGGCATAATTTAAACAGAACTAACTTCAATTTGTATTGACAGGAGTATTAAAAGTTTGATATTTGAGTGAAGGCAACTATATCAGAATGCTGAAGATCTCGTTGTTGTTGTTTTTTAATGGATATTTTATCAAAATAATACAAAACTATTTACATAACTATAGCTGAATTTAGCCCAATTGACAGAACAAGCCAGTTTGTTAAAATTTGATCAGGGTAGAACTCATTTAAAGGAAATATTGCTTGTATTTTTGTTTTTCTCGATAGAATTTTTAAGCTTTCCTAAACATGACCAGTATTTGCAAATGCTGTCACTTTTCAAGGTTATTATTCTCATGAGAACATGTTTTGCTTTATTTTAATTTTGCCAGATTTGCTGATGCGTGTCATGCATTTAACCGTGCGCAGGTGGACCGCACCGAAGTGATCCGCAGCAGCAGCAGCCCCGTCTTCTCTAAGATCTTCCTGGTAGATTACTACTTCGAGGAGGTCCAGAGGCTTCGATTCGAGCTGCACGACATCAGCTCTGGAAACAACGGCCTCCGAGACGCGGACTTCCTGGGAGCCATGGAGTGCACATTGGGACAGGTCAGTCTGCCTTCTGATTGGGCAGCAAAGAGGAAGCTTGCCCCATTCTCTTCCCACTCTGTACATTTTTGTCCCAACTTAATGCCGTTTTGCATCGGTTATAAACCCACTGTGTCTGCGTGCTTACCTGTCTTTGTTAGTACAGATTTGTATAAATTGTGTCAATAAATAATCATAAAATGCTTAAATATCACTTGACATGAAGCCAAATGGTATTGACAATCCTTAATTTTGACCTCATTTAGTTAGAGACTTGAAACCACTTTAAGTTCAGTTCACAAAACAAGCTGTGATGACAAAGTGCAGACGTGTTTTCAGACATTTTTGTATGGAACACACTTGCCTATTTAAGGTGGATGTCAGAGCATAAACCAAGGAGAAAAAACAAACAAAAAACAGACTCCATTAAATGTCCCAAAATGTCTGGAGGTCTCTCTTATTTGGACATTGAAGAAATTTAGACTACGTTGACCTTTCTCGGACACGGCAGCTCAACCTAACTGAGTAATTGTGGGAAGAAGCACCCCGGTCAAAGAGCTAGCCAAAAATCTATGTCTTACTGACGGGAAAGCTGCACTGCTCTCTTGCGAAGTTAGAAGAACCATCCACCAGATCCAACAGTCCTAATGCAATGCATCAGTAGGACAGACCCCATTCATCTTATCAGCCACATAGCAAGATTTTTCTCCTGTACTCCAAGCATTTTGTCAGAAAAAAAAGGGAACTCCTCATTCCTTGCTGACACCATCCCCACTGTCAAACATGATCTGGAGATGTTTTACCAGGAACTGTCCTTAGAAGTCGAGTTGGTAGCAGCAGATTAGAAAGAAAGTCTTCTGGAAAACCTTCACCAAGCGCTCTGTCTGCACCTCAGACTGACTGCATGGCATTGCTAGAATACCTCTATGAAAAGACTTAACTGTGGCTTTCTACCTATGCTGCCCATCCAATATTAATAAGTTTACAACGATCTTCAAAAAACTGATCTTTGTCAAAACAATTCCCTGTAAAAAAAAATCTCCCAAGCTTAGAGAGACATGCCTAACAAAACTTGAAGCTGTGAGTGTAATAGATAAGTGTAATAGATTATGCAGCTGTTAAATGTTTGTATTACTTTATTTACAAAATGTCTAAAAACAGGTTGAAATTTGTCAGCAGAACTATTCTTATATAATTTTGTAACTGCAAAATGTAAAAAAAAAAAAAAAAAAAAAAAAA